CATTCCAAACCTTCTTCAAGCTAAATTACAATTAGAAGATAAACCATAAAGAATTTTATCCTTGATCTGCAAATTTAAAGGAATATCAATGATAATATTCACAATATCAGAAGGAATAATTTGAGCTAATTAGGTGGTATTCCAATTGCCGTTGTGAAAAAATTCCTTAACTTTCATATTAACAACAATGTTAGTATTAAGAAGATTGTCAATCGAAGAAATACCCAACCAGTTATCCTGCCAAAAAGATATGTCCCCTTTTCCAAGGCCCCAATGAATATACTGCTCCGCCTCCCATTTAATATTGCACAATCTTTCCAAACATTGGAATCCGAATTTCTACAAGCACAAACCAAAGGATTAAGATTTTTACAATATTTTGCATTCATAAAGTTAGCCCAAAGGCTATTCTTGGAACGAAAAGCAAACCACATTTTATGAGAAAAAGTCTGAGCAGTATCCAAAAAATTTTTGCAACCCAACGAACCTTCATTAAAAATACCACAAACTTTATTCCAAGAAGACCAATTAATACAAGACTTGTTGATTTTAGAGCCCCAAAAAAACTTATTAAACATACGTTCCATTATAGTACAGATCGTGGCAGAGGGTTGAAGAGTATAAAATATGAAAATTGGGATAGAATTCAAAACATTTTTAATCAAAATCAATCTACCACCAAAGGATAGAAAATTAGAAGACCAATTAAGAATTCTCTTTTGAATCATAGAAAAAATATTGTCAAACAAATGCTTTTTTTTCCTACCTCTATAAAGGGGAGTTCCAAGGTACTTAATAGGAAGAGATGTATAATTAAAACCACAAACCCTTTTAATCCCATTACTTCTAGCACGATTCACAGATTTACTCACAATAAAATTGCTTTTATCATTATTAAAATACAAACAACTCATACTTTGAAAGTTCACAAAAAACTGAAATAAAACTTTAACATTTTTAATGGCAACATTAGAGAAAATAATGAAATCATCAGCAAAGCTAAGGTGCGTGATAGGAAAACCGGCAGTGTTGTGAAAGTAAAGCAAAGGATGTCTAGCAAAAAGGTTATCAAGACCCCAAGATAGGTACTCGATAGCAATAATAAAAAGCACAGGTGAAAGAGGATCACCTTGTCTCAAACCATGCTCAGATTTAAAGAAACCATGATTACTACCATTGATGATAATAGAGAAATAGCAGTTTTCAATACTATTCTTAATAAGATGAATAAACGGTTGCTTAAAACCAAAAAGATAAAGAATCTCATAAAGGAATTGCCAGTTTAAGTTGTCATAAGCTTTAGAAATGTCAAGCTTATAGATAAGATTACCACCAGGGTTTTTAACATTAATATCATGAACCATCTCTTGAGCCAAAAGAATATTATCAAAAATATTCCTACCTTTCACAAACCCCATTTGATTAGAAGAGATAATACCTGGAAGGATGTTCATAAGCCTAGACGAAATGATTTTAGACACAAGTTTGTTAAAAAAAGAGCAAAGACTAATGGGTCTAAAATCATTCAAATCAGTGATAGATTCTTTCTTAGGTATAAGAACAATATTCGTAGAGGAAAAAAACTTGGGATAGGGATTACCATAAAAAAAATCCCTAACTGCATCCAAAACATCATCTTTTATAAAATCCCACGTTTTGTTGAAAAATTTAGTGGTAAAACCATCGGGACCGGCCACCGAGTCCCCATTCATAGTATTCAAAATATTCCAAATTTCCTCATCCGTAGGAATCTTAGTAAGCATAATATTATCACTATCATTAACCAAACAAGGAATAACTTTAGGATTAGAAATAGGAATAACAGCTTGAATTTTGTTAAAGACATTTTTAAAATGATCAACACCAGAATTAGCAATCGAAACATCAGTATCAAAAAAACAACCCTGCAAATCAGAGATATTGTGAATGTGGCTTTTAGTTCTGTTCCTATTAGCCAAAGCATGAAAAAAAGAGGTGTTCCTATCACCCTCCAAAATCCACTTAGTAGATGTTTTTTGTTTCCAAAAAACCTCCTCTTGATCATGAAGCTGAAATAAAACAATTTTAGCTTGGTCCAATAGAGAAAGATTGTCACTAGTCGGATTAGAAATATAAATATCATCTAATGCCAGAACTTTTCCTCAGCCTCCTTGATATTAGAAAAAAGATTTTTGAAAACATTTTTATTCCACCATCTGAGAACTTTCTTAAGTCTGCTCAATTTCATCCACAAACGATGCATACCTCTTATGTTATTATCAGGATAGATGATAGCATTCCAATTGTTGGAAATAACATTGACAAAATCAGAATGAGAAAGCCACATATTTTGAAATCTGAAAGCATTTTGAGTAAAAGTTTTATTCACAACAATAGTTAAAAGCAAAGGAGAATGATCATATAAAGTTCTGCTCATGTGCTGAACATGAGACATAGGGAAATCTCTTAACCACTCGTTATTGAAAAGAATTCTATCCAATCCCTTCCACATGGTAGACCGGTTCTAAGTAAAAGCACCACCAGTAAAACCAATATCATTTAAATTACAATTAGTAATCTTATTATTGAAATCTTCCATAGCACAAGTACTAGGAGGATTACCCCCAAGTCTTTCATTAGAGTTAGAAATAATATTAAAATCCCCCCCCACACACCAAGGTTTAGTAGAGGAAAGAGCCACACACACACACACACCAAGGTTTAGTAGAGGAAAGAGCAAAGTCAGTAAGAATATTCCAAAGAGGCAATCGACCGAATCTAGTGCAGGCAGCATACACAAAAGAAGCATTGTAATAAACATTTAAGCCATTGATTTGAACATTAACAATTTGAGCATAATTAGAGATGATATTGACATTAAAACTGTTATTCCAGAAAATCCAAATCTTATTAGAACAGTTAGCAAAATTCATATTAAAGCCCAAAAGAGAAGCAATACTAGCAATTTTATCCAAAGAAATAAAAGGTTCAAGAAGTATCAGCAATTAAATATTATGCACACGGCAAAGATTTCTAACCCGGATCCTGGAATCGGACCCACCAATACCTCTAACATTCCAAATAAGAGCATTAATCATTAGAAATTTTAGAAGATGTTTGAGCTCTAGTAGAACGGGGCGTGTCAGGAATAGGGATTTTAGCATTTTTCTTTTTGCTAACCTTAGTGTAATCTTCTTCAACAACCTGCTTAGAACCGCTACTACCAGGCACCGAGAGAGATGTGGGTAAGAGAATATTCCCAACCTTAATGGGAGAAAGACCGCCAATATTCTCAACCGCAATTTCCCCTTCTTCACATTCTTCCATCGAATCAGTTTCATCATCTGCCACAAGGTTTTCTTTATTTTGTAACATGGATTCAACAGAGATATAAAGGTTAGGACATTCATTTCCAGATTTACTATTATTATTACTGCTACACTTATCAGCTGAGTTATTGGAACAATCATTAACATCGTTGTCATTGGGGATATCCTTTAGAGGAGCTGGTCCAGTATATGGTATATTCGGCAAAGTATGGGCGGGATGTTTAACAACCCTTTCATTGAGCAAGTGGCTTTCATCAGCACCAAAATTTCTAGCCCTCTCAGGTGGGGAAATTGGTTCCTCCTGAACCATTTGGATCTGGTTTTTCGTGGCAACATCACCTTCAACTGTGTTTTTATCCATCTTTTGCCCCGCCGAGTTGCTGGAAATTTTCTTAAGATTAGGGTGGAGTTTAAAGCATTCAGCCACCGCATGGCCGTGTGTTTTACAGTGATTACAAAAATCTGGCACTTTTTCAAATTCGACTTTCTGAAGGTATCCGAATGCTTTAGAACCCACCCAAATCTCCTTTGCGTGTTTCTTCGTAATATCAACTTCAACTAATATCCTCGCAACAGAAGGTCTAGTCCTTGAAGCCGTGACCAGCGGCGTCCAAAAACAGATCCAAGCGCAAAAAGAACTTTCGCATTAAAGAAATGTAGTCTAAGGTTAGGGAAAGAGATCCATATAGGAACTATAGGAGATTCTTCCTTAACATCAAAAAAAGGAGTCCACTTCAAAATCCGCATTTGACAGTTTAAGATAAAATACGATCTACGCGCAAAAACACGGCTGTAATCAAGATCGTTAGATAGTTGTATGGCTACATGTTTTGAATCCAAAAGCCCCACAGAATAAAATCCAGAGAGTTTTAAACTACCAAAAAAGCACGTATAGAATACAGATTAGGTCTATGAAGATCAAATTTACCCACAAGAGTGAATTGAAATGGAGATGCAAGCTTAAGAACTTCTTCATCCGAAAGAAAAATAGCCGGCACACCATTAAAAGTAGACTGAGTTAATGAAGGAAGGGTATCACCTGCGGACGAGCCAGCAAGAACATCTTTGAAAGAATGAGACTTTGGCGGAGAAGAAGCTCCCGCTTCCAGGCTAAAAAAACCTTTGATTGGATCATTACCATTAGAGGCGACGTTACCCCAAGCAGTGGATGACGGATCCCCCATCGGAAACGTCAAGCCCAAACAGGGCAAGACGAAGAGAAGCCACCAGCACACCAAAGCTGGAGAGAAAAACAAGGATCACTAACAGGATCTGGCCGCGGGAGAGCAAAAACAAGCGGAGAATGGATGGAAACCTAAAATCGCCCGAGGCGGTGCTTAGGGTTTCCAGGAGCGAGAGGTGTAAAGTGTGAAATGACAAGGACTTGAGTGTAGATTTGATGATTGTGGTGTTAATAGCTTGCAATGATGGAAACTATAGGAATGAACAAGTGGCAACAAGTCTGAATAATTGTGAAGATGGATTTGATCTATTATGGTGACTTATCTGGCTATACAATATCGGGGCCTTGTGGATTTGATTTAGAATGGCTTAAAAAAAAGGGAAATAGTTTACAGGGTAAGCGGACCGGTGTATAGGGCTAAATGAGGGATGACAAACCCTTTTCCATAACATGTAACATACCTTGTTAGTTGGTTGAGTTCATTTTTAATTTTTAAGATTAGTGGTAAGTGCGAGAAGAAAGGTATCTTTGTGTGACGTAATCTTGTATTGTGATTATTTTTTAGTTTCAACTTCTCTATACAAGAGTATACTTAAGATATAGGTTCAATTCTCTTATTTTGTACACCACAGCAATATATAATTTATGTTATGGCTATATTTTCAAAGCATCACACATCTCTTATGAACATAATCGATCTTAGTTCAAATTGAGACACATATTTTCAAATATGTTTTGATATGTTTTATCTTATACTTTTGGGTTTATTTATATTGCCTCCCCAATTATTATTTTGGAAACTCTTATTATAATATGATAAGTATTCATCAAGCTACAAATGGTGAGACATTTCTCAACCAAATTTAAATATTGAATAATGATGGTGCATGTATAGTTATATAGTTATACTAATTCTAATAAACTAAATAAATAACCAACTCCATAAAATTTTCAAATAAATTTCAAACCAAGCATCGTACAGTAATATGATTACAAAGACAACTTAATTAAACACTAGAAGATGAATAAGCAAACATTGTTGGCAAAAGGTGCAACCCTGCTTAAGTTTATTTTCTATCTTAGTTTATTGTCCTGCAGTTGAGCCTGATCTCTCCCTGGATACCCGTAAGTGGGGTGATTGTCCCCATGTTCAAGATTGCGTTAGCAAAGTCTGTCCAAAAATAATTAGGATTTGTAGCGTAAGAACTCACAAGAGCATCAGTGGATCCATTATTGAAGAGCTGCTGGTCAGAGTGTAAAAGGCCCTCATTGTTTATTAGATTTTTGTAGTACTCATTGTCAAATACTGTTGGAGTCTGAAGATCAAGGGGCGAAAGATTGTCGTCTCCTCCGACGCTCGGACAACTGAATTTCAATGAGTTGGCGAATGAAGAGTCAATATTACTCTCATTATAGATCCGAGTTCGAAATGTGGTGCATCTTGCTTGACCAATTGTGTGAGCTCCTGCGGACAAATGTAAAATGAATTAGCAGAAGAACAATCTTGAACCGACTATAAACACAAGACCTGATGGACAATAACGTATTATATATTTCCCATGATGAAGAATTTTTTCTTAAGGATGGTTGTCTGTGTATGTGATTGAGTTGTTCAACTTTCTAATACCTGAGAGGGCAACCATGTCGGTAGTGGAGAGCCCTTTCTTAGCGTACGCTGAAATAAGAGTGTTGAGGTCTGATGCGGGGCTCGGAATGTCGCTGTTGGCTTCGCTCAAGCTTGCAGTTGTAGAATCTCTTCTCCCAAGTTGAACGTCCCATGAAGGGCCACCAAGCTGATAATGAAGGATAAATTTGTTTATATATTGGATGTAAACATACGTAAGTGACGATGTATCAAATAAAATTTTTTTTTGGGACATTTAGGTCATTTAAGGCAAATTCACACACACAACGCATACACATGGACTCGAACCTTGGACCTCTTAGTTGGAAGCCTAAGCTTTCAAACAATAGGACAAGGAGAGTTGTGTATCAAATAAAATAGATTTATATAAGTCTCTTCAAATGAAATACAAATTTTTTTCTTAAATGAAATGTTTGTCGCTTAATTTTTTTAAACAGTCGAAAAACTCGTCAAATGCACGAGAATTAATGGTGAACGTCATATATTAAACTAAATAATGTCCCATTAGTCACGAGTCCGACTGGCTTATCAATGCATGTTCTAGCAACAGCTAGTATCTATCGTTTTTTTTTTAAAGGAAAAAATGACTACAGTATTATCCTACATTATTAATTAACTATCATCATTCCACTCATCATAAAAACAGTTCAACATCCGAGGAACTACTATCGTGTTTTATGATATATATATTTTTGGTCATTTAGGTTAATTAAAATAATTTCAGATAGTAGTCATATTTTTCTCAATCTTATTGATAATTGGCTCGGCAGTGCGTCTAATTATATAGGTAATGATATCTGCCTTTTAACCATCTTAACCTATATTTTCCATACTACTTGCTTTCTGCTCGTTGTTAATAGTATCTCTTTCTTGCAGGTTTTTCGGCTTGCTGGTGTTGGTTGCAAGATAAATTTTTTTGTGAGGAAGATGATGCTGCTGCTTTGATCTGAATCGTTCTTTTTTGGGTACCGGCTCCTTGCCGCCCTCACTTGTTATTAGGTTATCTTGTATTTTTTCTTAGTGGGAATTATCGGCTATTAGGTTTTTTATTTTGGTTTGTTTTTTCTCTTTGGAGAGGTTGTGAGCTGAAGTTTCCACTTAATGACCTTGTAATTTTCTTTTTAATTAATGCATAGGCTCATTTATGAGCTTTATTAAAAAAAAAAAAATTATGCACTCATAACATATACAAGATTCGAGTCAAAAATCTCTTGGTTGGTAGTCAAATTAAGCGCCCAATGAACAAATTAAGAGCTCCTAGCCAACAAATCAAGATGAGCTATATGTTTACCATAACTTTGAAGATAAGATTTGAAGAGAATTTCTATTTTGAAGTAAAATTCAGTGCCCTATAAACTTTTGTTAATTGGCGTATTGTGCTGGAATCTATAGACTTGTTATGGCATATTTTTAAGAGTTTATCAAGTCATGATTATTCCAACTAATTCTATTTAAAAACTATACTTGTTTGTCATCACTTTATTTGAATAATCAATAACTCATTTACCGAGTCGATTTTCCTAGACTTTTGAGTTTTTTTTTAAGCATTTCCATGTTTACTTTTGAATAAAAAATGAGGTACTCGTACAATTATCTTATACCTAATTTTGACAAAGAAATAAAATAAAAACTTGTATAAATGATGTGATGACACTAACGCGGCCTAGCTTCTTCATTCATTCTTCCTTTCTTTATAAAACTAGAAAATGTGAAATATTCAAATTTTCACCATTTTTCGGTCACAATGTGGGTTTCATCATAATTATTCTAACAATTCCATAAAATAATACTTCATATATGAATTTTTTTCCCAGAACTTTAGGTGAATCAAATCATATATATATATATATATATATATATATATAAATTCAAATCAATTACCTCTTAATTAGCAACATAAACTCTCAATCAATAGGTTCAAATTGCATGTATAAACATTAAGACTGTTCAAAATTTAAAATTTATTTTATTTCATCTTAAGAAGCACTCATAATTTTGTTACCGATCAGTGTTCTAGTTTGAGAACATAATATATATAATTGAAAGGAATTTGTATATAGTTTACTTACAGCAACTACAGAGTCCCGAGCAGCAACGGCTAGAATGTCAGCACAGGAAACCGTTTGATTGCAGATAGCTTCAACCTGGCTTTTTATTGTGTCAACCACATCAAAACCCCTCACTGAGTTAGCATTTGGCCCTGCAGTCTTCTCACCAGTGAAAGTTGAAGTATCATCCAGCAAAATTGACCCATCACAACCCTATCATTGTTTCATTGCATTCAATTGAAATCAGTAAAGCAAAATATTATTTGAAATATTCCCCATATAAATGCTTCTGTTATTCATAATTCTAAAATTAGAGTGTCTTCAAAATATCATATAACTAGAACCTTCAATGCATGCAATCTATTTAAATGAAAATTATGATAATTGTTAATATTTTCAGAAGAAAAAAGAATACGGAATATAACATTATAGTAATAAGATAACTTCTCATAATAGTAATGACCACAACGCGGAAGCATATATTATTTTTAAACGTTTGTAATACAAACTCATGATGATTACCTAACCTTCGTTTCCATTACATCAAAAAAGTATTAAATATTGATACTGATAGGGAAGAGAGAGAATGAGAGTGTGGGTTGGGGAAGCGTAACAGAAAGTATTAGTGGATATTACTGATGATTCTTACATATAAGATAGAGAAGAGAGAGTTTAAAATTATATTAGTATATATATATATATATATAGAGAGAGAGAGAGAGAGAGAGAGAGAGAGAGAAAGAGGAACTTTTATTTGGTCCGATAAACGTACGTAGAGCTACGTTCGGTCGGCACTAAGATCGCAGGCACAAAACGAGAAATACCGAGCAAATACCGAACAATACCAATAATAACAAGAAATATCATTATGTGAAGACAAAATACCAAGTAATACCGAGCAATACCAAGCAATACCGAGTAATACCAAAAAATACCGAGTTTTCTCTAGAAAAACTCGGTATTTTTTGGTATTACTCGGTATTGCTTAGTATTACTCGGTATTGGTCTTCCCAGAGCAGTATTCCTCATTATTATCAAACAATACCTACCAATACCAACCAAATACCGACCAAAAACCGAGTAACAATCCTCTGACCGAATGTAGAGCTACGTCCGGTCAGAGGACGTAATAAAAGTTCCAGAGAGGGGGGGGGGGGGGGGGGGGGGGGGGGGATATTTGGATCGTTGATTATTGAAAAAGGAGATTTACGCTTAGTATTCCCCAAGAATTATTAATTGCAAGTTCCTCATAACCAAATGCGTTGCATAAGGACATATTTTACGTACTTGGACAAAGCAATCATGGAAATGAAGCCGAAGCAACGAAGCCCCCATTCTTTGCTCATTAGCCACCGCAGCATCTACAGCTGCTTTGATGGTGGAGAGAGCATTAGGGCACGAAGTGTCGTAGAATGTTGACGATAGCTGAGCTGAGGCTATTGCTAAAACTAAGAGAAACATGGACAAGGCCAAAGAAGAAGAACTGAGAGAGTTTGAAGCCATATCTACTAACGCAAGAGCTGGAGATATAACTTGCTTGGATGATGTGGGAGAGGCAGTTCCCTTTGTGATGTATTTATAAAGCACACGACCCTTCTTCATAATATATAACAATGCATCTGAAGTCAAGGACGCTTTAATAAACATATAAGAGAGAGAGAGAGAGAGAGAGAGAGAGAGAGAGAGAGAGAGAGAGAGAGAGAGAGAGAGAGAGAGATTCAGCACAAATGCGGCATTCGGTTTATTGAAAAAGTCTTTATCTACCGAGAATCCAACTTGTTTAAGAAGAAAACTTAATTAATGCCCAAGCCCTTCAGAGAAGATGTCAAAGCCATCTTCAAAACTTTTATCAAGTTTTTTTGAAGGAAGATCTATAGAACAAATCAAGGTTTTCTGCAAGTTTAAAGACATTTTTAAAAAGATTTGAAGGAAATACATTATTTTGTTGACCCTAATTCTTGCATTTGTTTAGTAGCATCAAGCTGGACCGCGTTTAATCATAACGATTTGTTAAGTAGAGGCAGACTCGGCAGCGAGTCTATTGGTTAGGGTTGATATTTGCAGATAAGAAATGATGAAGAGCAAAAATATTCTTCCATAACTGTCCTTTATATGTATATTTAATCACAAGATTGGCAAAGAATAGGAAGGCTTTGTTGACCTTATTTTTAAAGAAAACCTTCAATAGACAAATGCTTCGCACTTGCACAATTGGTAATTTTTTTTTTTAATTAAAACCCACCAAGGGGCCTACGTGTTAATATCCAAAAATCGGTTACCAAGGTCCATAAAAGGAACCTCCAGCTCTCTAATGCTCAGAAGAGCTACATCAAAAAATAAAATAAAACATGCGAGCTGATGGCTCTTTATGCTAGTAGTTACAAAAAAACCTAAGAACATTCTAGGTATTCAAGAGAAAAGAACCCAAAAAAGGAAGAAGAAGATACCAATGATCATATCAGTCTTCCTGCAAAAATTGTAATTAGCCTTCCCACAGCTCCAAAAAGTAGTGGTCCCTCTGCAATCATTTAAGCAGCACATACGAAGACGAAAGTTCTGCACAAAAACAACCCTCCAAAGAAAACTGATTATATGACAAGTATACTTGGATAATTGATAGAAGGACTTACAGGTAATGTAAGATAAGAGATAAAAGGGCAAAAAAACGTCCCTAATGCCAAAGGCAGAAGCCTCAGTGAGCTTAGATAATAAATCATAGCACCAGCACAGAGTCATCAGCCTAGAATTACACACGGCTAAGTTTAAAGAAAGAGCCCAAAAAAGGTTCAAATGAAGTAGATACTGTAACACAATATTCAAAGCAAGTAACATAATGGGGTGATTAGCATTAAAGGCATTCCAAGCCCAGTTCTTAGTATCCTCCCTGATGCAGAAATAAGATCCCAGTAAAAAACACTTGCCATTATGCGAATAGGGAGAAACCAGGAAAATACGCACAGAATCAATCCCATAATCCAAATTCATTAAAATTAAAGGGGAAAGGTCAAAGGAGAAGCTCACCCAACAAATACAAAACAAATGAAGGACAGGACAGAAGACCAGCTTACCCAAAAACTTCATACTACGGCGCCCAAAGAGAATACAGTTACCAGACTTAAAGGTAATAACACAAGAAAACCCATTGAAAAAATAGCAAAACAGAACCAAGAGTTTCCAGTTTAGATGAATCCCAAACACGTCAAAACAACAAATCTAAGCATTAACCCAGAAACATTTAATACCAGGATAACAGAGATACATAGCGAAAAAAATCCAAACCGCATCAACCTGATTAGGATCCAGAGAGCCTAGGATCCCATAATCGAAGCAGCTCCCAAACCGAACATTGAGAAAATGAAACATAAAGTGATCCCAAGGAAAAAGAATCCCCCAATAGTGCAAAACAACAGAAAAATCACAGAGTAAAATCTTAGAAAAACCCCCACCACAGAAAACAGGACAGGAGACGCAATTAACACAATAAAGCACAACATGAACGAAGAACAGTAAAAAAGAAAAAGTAGCCTAATGCACACGAATATAAGGATAATTCAAACGATCTAATCTAGCAAGACCTTTAGCTTCAGTAGAAAGATTGTGGTCATCATACTCAAAATTAACAAGAGTACACCCCCTTTTGGCAAGAAAATCGGCCACCGCATCCCCTTCTCGTAAGATATGAGAATTTTAAAAAAGGAAAGAGACAGGCAATGTTTAATATCTCTAATTTTATAAAAGTTTTTAGAATTGGCAGAAGAGTGGCCTTTAATGTAATGAATAATTAGCATAGCATCCACTTCAACCCAAAGATTATCAATCCCAATAGACTTACAGAGCTTAATCCCATGCAAAAGACTCTCCAATTCAGCCTGAATGGCATTAATAACATTTGAAGGACCCACATAGGCCTTAATGACCAAGCCTTTAGTATCCCTAATAATGCCACCACACCCAGAACCAACAGTATTATAAGCACCATCCGTATTGAGTTTAAAATAACTCGCCATAGGTTTAGTCCAATAAATGATTCTATTGTTAGAAACAGCAACAGTAGAATTGAAATTCAACCCAAATTCATGAAGCAAGTGATGGCAACCTTTGAAAGAGTCGTTCTTAAGAAGCTTAGCCACAAATAACTGATAAGTTTTATGCTAAATTTTAGAAATGATAGTATTCACATCCATTTTTTCATTCTCATATTTAGAGGCATTCCTACTCTCCCAAATATACCAACAAATCAAAATAGAAATAATATTGCGAATATGAATTTTGAGCTTAATAAACCATTCGGTAAGAACCTCATTAATGGGAGTGCAATGAAAATTAGAAAAAACTTTGAACAAATTGTCAAAATAAATCCAAACTTTCATCGCTATGGGGCCCTTGAAAAAAAACATGATGTAAACTTTCAATATAATAGCAGCATTGACATTTAGACACAATAAAAAGGCCTTCCTTAATAAGCAAGGAATCCACATGAAGATAACTGTGCAATATCCTCCAAACCAAAAAGGAATAAGTAGTGGGAATACTAGCATGCCAAAAAGAAACATTAAAGAAATTAGTCGGCATATGATGCTTAATTAACTTCCAAACATGTTTTGTGCTAAAATTCCCATTATTGGAACAAGTGGACAAGATGCAATCATCCATTTCCAAATAGATAGTAATATTCACAATTAATTTGATAATGAAATCAGGCAACAAAGTGTAAATTAAATTCATGTTCCAACTGTCATTGATAAAAAATTCTTTAAATTTTAATTGAGATATGGAACGAGTATATAAAATATTATCAATAGAGAAATTACCCAATCATTTATCTTGCCAAAAATAAATATTACCACAACCTAAACCCCATTGAATGAACTCCTCAGCTTCCCATTTAATGTTGCATAATCTTTTCCAGTTAGGAGAATCACCCAATTTGAAAGAGCAATTTAAAGGATGCTTCATCCCACAATATTTAGAAACCATAAATTTAGCCCAAAGACTCTTCTTAGCTCTAAAATTAAACCGAAGTTTATGATTGAAGGTATGAGCCATATCTTGTATAGTTTTGAACCCTAGTTTTCCCTCTTCCATAGTACCAAAACAATTCTTCCAAGACCCCAACAAAATAGTATTAGAACCAGCCTTGGATCCCCAAAGAAATTTGTTGAAAAAAACTTCCAACCTTTTAGAGACATTAATAGTCGAAGCCACAGTATGAAGCAGAAAAATAGGAATACAACAAAGAACGTGTTTAATAAGAATAAGTCTACCACCATGGGATAAGTAATTGAAAGCCCACAAAATAAATTTCTTTTGAATGGTAGTGAAAATGTCATCAAATAAAAAAGAACGTTTTCTACCTTTAAATAAAGGAGTGCCCAAGTATTTCATAGGAAGGGAATTTATCATTAAACCAATTTTTCTCTCAATACTGTGAATGCGAGAAGTAGAAATTGATTTAGCAGTAAAAAAGGAGCTTTTGGTTTTATTGAAAGTTAAACCACTAATGTTCTGAAAATTCTCAAGAAACCTAAAAAGTTTTTGAACATTCCGAATAGAACCATTAGAGAAAATAATGAAGTCATCTGCAAAACTCAGATGAGTTAAAGGCATAACACCCCCTGTTCGAAAAAACAAATTAGGATTCATTCTGAAAAATTGGTTCAGGCCACGAGATAAAAATTCCATAGCAATAATGAAAAACGCAGGAGATAGGGGATCACCCAGTCTCAGACCATGAGAAGAACAAAAAAAGCCTTGAGATTTACCATTAATAATGACAAAAAAATAACATAATTCTATGCTATTTTTAATTAATCTAATAAATTGAAAGTTAAAGCCAAAAAAATGTAAAACAGCATAAAGAAAATCCCAATTAAGATTATCATAGGCTTTGGTTATGTACCCAACATCGATTATTAGTTTTGGACTTTAAGATAAAGGGGCATAAAATAAAAAATAAACAATGGAGAAAAAGGATTCATGTAGTCGACCCCACGTAGTGGGATAAAGGCTTGATGTTGTTGTTGTTGTTGTTGTATAGGCTTTGGTTATGTCCATTTTGAAAACAATGTTCCCGCCAACAACCTTTTTCTCTAAATCATGAATTAATTCCTGCGCAAGCAAGATGTTATCAAATATAGATCTGCCTTTAACAAAACCCGATTGTTCCAAAGAGATTATTTTAGGAAGAATTAAAGCAAGTCTTCCCATTAAAATTTTAGAGATCAATTTATTGAAAAACGAACATAAGCTAATAGGCCTATAATCATTCCAAGAATTAATGTTTTGAGCCTTAGGAATGAGAGCAATAGAAGTGGTGGTGAAAAACTTTGGGTACTTAGAGCCGCCAAAGAAATCAGACACAACATTAAAAAGATCCTCCTTAATAATTTCCCAAGCTTTTTGGAAAAATTTATTATTAAAGCCATCGGGACCAGCAACAGATCAGCATTCTTGCTATTTAAATTTTCCCAAATTTCATCCATAGAAGGATTCTTACTGAGTAAATTGTTCTCCTCCTCA